GGCTCCCAAGCTCCATTTTCAGCTGTGCGGCCCTCCCGAGCTCCATTTTCACTGGCAGAGGCACCACGGGCCAGTCCTTCACTGTTTCTAGGGCAGCCCCACAGGCCGGATCTAAGTGCCCCATGGGCTGGATCCAATCGCCAGGCCTTGAGTTTGACACCCAGATTTATAATTTGGTGTTGAGTTGCAATACTGACTGGCGTGAGAGATATAATTACTCACATTTTAATCCATCTACTAAGAATGCTATTTTTGGTACAGTGATTAAGGTATCAGGCTCAAAACTGGGAGACTGTGAGTTCTAGTCCTGCCTTAGGCACAAAGCCAGCTCGATCATCTTGGGCCATGACGGACTGAATGAAGTGGCAAACCATGACATTGATACATCACAATGTACAATAAATGGACCTCCAACTTCACAATGCGTTGCGAATGAAGATGGCTTTGTGATGCAAGTCGGGTTTTATATTCACTGTTCATGGATAGATAGTTATTTTCTTCATATTATAAATATCTTTGTATCAGAGATCCCAAATAATTCTTGTTGCCCTATTGATAAGTAAAAAATGAATTCTAAGACCCAAACCATTTTTTCTTTGTTAAAATATTAAAAATTATCTTTAATTTTAATGGGGCCTTAGCAGCTGCTTTGATTTCATTTCCTTGAATTATCGAATAGTTCTGATAATTGAATAGTTTTGTTTTTATAGTTTTGTTTTTATTCCCCCTCTCAAACGAAAAAAACCCTCTTTTTATAAGTAGATATATAAAAGCATATGGATCATTCTAAATGTAGCCTTCGTTAATGTCACAGTTACTATAGTATTCCTTCCATTACATTTTCTGCATATTTTTTTCTTTAATTCTAAACTGTACAAAATCCACATGTTTTCATGTATAACTTTCATTTCCCTACATAACTTTCTCTAATAAATGTGTTTTAATGCATCTTTTAATGTATGGCATTTATATGAATCTTTGAACAGAGAACCATAAAAGCTAGCACATGCTCTTTATCACTTTTCAATCATGTTTTGATTGTTTATACCATTTCAATCCCAAAGTGCCCATTGCTTTTATATCCTAAGTAATTATGTCTATATAGATACAGGTTTAGATATTGTTATATGCATCTAATTTAACATGCAGATCTCTTTCTCTCTCTCTCTCTCTCTGGAATTGTTATGTTAACTAATTCAGATGTATGATTTTCAACTTGCAAACCTAAATGAAGCATGCGTTAAACTAATGACGTGTACTCATGTTGCTCTGGATGTCTAAAAGACCCCCTAATGTCAACATCAATGTGGTCAAGTCAGCCTGCCAAGCCTGTTTTTCACTCATGCAGAAGAATGAGACGATAACTGGGACTCCGCATAAAACCACATCAGCAGAAAAAAAAAAGGAAAAGATGTTGCATCTTTTTTTCTGCTAACCAAGCGTGAGCATTAATGGAAGAAAATGCTCTCTGACAGGATAAAAACATTCCCTTGCTTATTTTGCAACAAATGCATGTTCTTATCTCTCCTTATGTATTTCCGTCAATTATTTAAATTTGTATGAAAAGCCAATTGAAAAACGAAGCCTGGTGCAATGATAAGTAATTTAAGCAAGTTTTGCATGTTGTTATAATAGATTTAGTTACATGTGATCCAACATACAATAAACAAATCCCGCTCTTGAAATAAATTGAGCATTTTCAGCCTGATTCTGAAATCAGGGACTTAAAATAACAGATACCTGCTACAGGCAACTTATGCTCTAAAACAGGAACAGCTGCATATGTCAAAATTGTATAGAATATATCTGGCTGGAATTTCTTGAACAGCAGATTTTTCTAATGCCAAAGAAATCTAAAAAATTTATTACACACGCTCTCTTTCTCTTTCAGCAAATGGCCGTAGACATCAAAAGATTTTTGACTTTATACCTTCAAGGTAAGATCTCCCATTCTGTATTTTTACAAACTAAATAAATAAATAATAACTTTATTGTCATTGTACGTGTATACACAGTATACCTATACAATGAAATTCACTTAACACCCAAAGACCAGATCCAACACAAATAACAATCCCCAAATACATTCCCACCCACCACAATTCCCCACCCCTAAACCATCCAAACATCCACACAACAGACCAAGTAATACTGTCCAACAGCTCATTAATGGTGGCCCTTTAGTTCATTGTTGAGTGCAATTATAGCTCTGGGATAAAAACTATTCAGAAAACATGTGGCCCAAGTTTTAATTGTTCCGTATCTTCTGCCAGAAGGCAACAATCCAAAAAGATTGTAAGCAGGATTGGAAGAGTCTCTGAGAATGTTATGCAACTTCCTCAAACAGCGAGATTCGAAGATGTCGTCCAGGGCTGGTAGCTGTAGTCCGATGATATTCTGGGCAGTTTTAATGATTCTCTGTAAAGCTTTTTTGTCCGCTACAGAGCTGCTCCCATACCATGCAAGAATGCCGTATGTCAGGACACTCTCAATGGTGTGCGATAGTAGGACAGAAGTAGTATACTCATAGAAACAGAAGTGGGGGGGACGACATTGTATTAAGGAATTTATTGCCAACTGTGCACATTTTTATCAGTCTTTACTAGTTATATCCTGTGATTCTTTAGTTTCCAGAATGTTAGATAAACATTCTGGATTGTTTTACATCTGCAAGGTTGTTAAAAGCATGGGTTTTCAGATCATATTCTTGGTCTTGGACATAGTCTTACTCATCCATTATTCTACTTATAGTGAATTCAATAATGTAGCTGTTAGTGAAGCATCAAGGGCTTGTCTATATGAATTGTGACCTGTGCTGTCACACTATCAGTCACATTTTGATAGGTTGCCAAGAACTCCACAAATCTCCTATAGAACTGCATCCTTCCTTTCAACCTTGAGAATGCCCAGATAGGTGGTCACAATATTCTAAGGAGGCATCTTCTCCTACTTCCAAGATTGCAAAGAAATCTTCCTAAATTCATACTAGACTACCAACATAGTGGTAAAACGACAACAGTTCTTTACTCCTTTAGAAGAAGAAAAATAAAATAAAAAGGTTTCCTTACCCATAATGCAATTGCAAGGGTATAGTAAAGTCAAAAGAAAAAGTTCTCTATCTTGTTTGATCAACTGAATGATCTGATTGCCAAACCACCAAGATTAAATCCAGCCATTGAAAATAATTTGCTTAGATACCAAAGCCAGCCAAAATCATAAACCCCAACTGTTAAAAATAAAACAAGTAAACAAGTGGCTTAATTAAAGATTTGTAATTTACCTTTTTGTAGAAATGTAAGAACAAAGAGAAGAACAATGGCATTTAAGATAGCCTTAACGTTTTAAAAAAGTAAGGAGAGGGACAAGCAACTGAACTTTCAATATTTTGTATAGAGTCTATACAAAATATACAATACTATAGACATACATTATACATATAGCCTTTCATCACACTCGCTTTGTCAGCTCACTGGTCAGCTGATGGATAGGCTGCCTTCTATTTCAGGAGGAGAGCTTCTCTCCCCAATACAACAATGGAGTTAGGCAGCCTACCATAAAATTGGGATGACTGCACTACTATCTGCAACAGGACACAGGGTCAACCATAAAGGGCCACACATAACCCATCAATCAGATATTGGAAAGACTCAGTGTCAGGCGCAAGCAACCAGATCCACACGTGTAGAGCACAAGCTAACTATTATATTGTATTCTGCCTGTAACACAGGAATCTCCCCAGACTATTTGCCTTCTCTTGGGAACAGATAGATAAGTTTCTATGGAGCTTAGCAGTCCTGGATCTGTGCAACAATTCAAGGCTAATTCCCTGCTTGAATCATCCTTCCTACCTGGCTGGGCATTTCCGAACACACAGTTCCACTATACCAAGAATTTCTTTTTAAGAATGGAGAAATATTCACAGGGGATTCCCCCTTCTCTGGATATCAAGCAGAGAGGCTGGATGAGATGACCATCAAAATGCCCTCTAGCTATGCTTCTTCCTTATCTTTATAACATTAATGTATTCCTGTAGCAATGCTGTGCAACCCTCTGAAAGGATAACGTAAAAACAAATATGCAAAGCTTTGAAGCCACCTTTGGAAGCTCCTTCACAAATCAAAGTGAAACCGTTGCATTGCTTCCAAAGCCTCCCCTTTTATCTGCCTAATATATGGGACAGAGGAAGCTGTCAGGGACAAACAAAGGCCCCTAAGAAGAACATCACCTTGGGGTCCCGGAGTGTGAGTGACGCTGACTTAATCCAGCCTCAAGCAACAGCATCGCTTCTGTGCCGTGCTGAGCCCAACATCGCTTCCCCAATGTGAAGTGCCTCACTGAGACGAACAAAGCCCACTTTGTACAGAATTAATTATTACATATCATTTGAAGTTGAAACAGCAGGCGGTGCTATCAAAAAGCAATATTTAGCCCTTTGATACATTTGAGGAGTGGAGCAGTGTTGCCCTCGTTCTCACTTCCAAACGGCACACGTTGGAAATTTAGGATTTAAAAAAAAGAAAATTTGAAATTAAAAAAAAAAGATCATTTGACTCTTAGATATATGACGTTATCCTAAGCTATGAATCTGGTGAACGTAATATTGAAAGAACCATGTACATAATACTGAACGTAATACTGAAAGAACTCAAAGTAAGATCAAAGATTCTGTGGATGGCATAAACAAGCCAAGAGGCAAACCCTGGAGGAGAGAAATAAATGGCCACAATGTCAATCACATCACCATCTGGAACACCTGCACACCTAAAACCGATTTAAACTGTTCCAAAGTCAACATGACTGATACCTCTGTAATGATACAGGCCATTTATTCACAAGTGGCTTATATTATTATCTGACCATTGCTTCAGCTGTCAAACAAGATTGAAAACAGGTTTCACACTGCTGCAGTGGTAACCGGGCAAAAGTTGTGGGACATCTACAAGTTGAAGTCATCTGAGGAGAAGGCCAACAACCTGAACACAATTGCCGGGTTTACTTACAGTGATGTATGTTGCTGCATATATACTCAGAGCTGCTTCTTTGGAAGGAAAAGTTTTTCGGGCTTTCATGACAAGATCAGGATTTCCAGAGCAAGCCTCTGCACCACCGACGAACTGTGTAAACTCCTGACATCCCAGAGCTGTGTAGTTGGGCTTGCAAAGTGCAAGGAAATGAGGTGCAAGATTCCCAGTTACTACTTGTCCAGCATTTACAAATATGTCTGTTGCAAAAAGTCCAAATGCATAAATGCCTAAAGAAAGGGAAGGAAAACAAATAATTAAGTTGCTATTACAGTAGCGCAATAAAATGAATAATCTGATTAATAAAACAGTTGATTAATAAATAAGTAAGATATTTTGCATATAAGCTTGGTGAAAGGCACACTGCTAAGAGAAAATGAAAACAATATAGAACCTTGTCCTGTCTTTGAACATACCAGTGCAGACATGCTAACTGAAATCTTGATTTATTTTTAGGTGTGTTATGTTTGTAACAGGTAGAATCATTGCTCCTCTCTCTGTGTGAATATTGGTGGTGGGGCCAATTCTTTACTAGTAAGTTTTGGATCCTATGAACCTCTCCCGTGCCATCAAGGACTTTATAGATGATAACTAGTTCTCTGAACTACATCTAGAATCTTACTGCTAATCAATTCAGCTCATGATAATGAAATGCTCTATTGGCATAGGGTGGCATGCATGCTCGTAATTCCCTTAGCAGCTGCATTCTGGATCAATTGCATTGCTACAAGTGGTCTTCATTGCTACAGTCCACACGTGAGGTTACCAAGTGTGTGTGATTATCTGGTCCAGATATCGGTGCAACTGGTGTGCTGGATGAATTTGTAAGAGTTTTATTGTTACATATCTTCTAAGCAGAAGCTGAGAGTTCAAAGAGACCCCCAAATGGTGCACCAATCCTAAAGGGGGAAGTGTAATCTCAACCCATGGAATCCACCCCTGCACAGCTTCCAAATACTGGGACAAGATCTTGACAGAAAGATCTGGTTGGACTGAGATTGAGATGTCATCAGTGTATTGGTGAGAGTTGACCTCAAACTGCTGAATACCTCACCTAGTAGCCTTATGCAAATGTTAAACAGGAGGGGTGAGAGCATTGAACCCTGAGACACCCCATATATCAGGGGTCTCTGGCTTGATTCTTTTTCCCTGCCAACATTGTCTGGATCCAACTACAAAGAAAGAAGGAGAACTGTAGAACTCATAATTCCCACAAATGGCCCAGAAAGATAATATTAGAAACCACTCTGAGATTAAGGTGAACCAGGATGATTGATTGCACTATAGCATCCCATTCAACCAGAGGTCAGTAGCAAATATAGCCAAAGCCTTCTCAGTTCTATGTTCTGGTTTGAAACCTGACTGGAAAGAGTCTAGATAATTTGTCTCCTCCAGAGCCCTCAGTTGCTGCAGCCTGGCCATTTTCTCAACAATGTTCCCCCAAAAGGGAAAGGATAGAGACTGGATGAAAATGGCCAGGCCTGTCAAATCCAGCAGTCTCTTAATTTTAATAAGGTACAGAATCTATGGACCAGAGGTGGGTTGCTACCGGATCTCCCCGGTTCTTGCGAACCAGTAGTGGAAATTTTGAGTAGTTCGGAGAACTGGTAAATACCACCTCTGCCTGGCCCCGCTCCCAATCTATTCGCTGCCTCCCGAGTCCCAGCTGATCGGCTAGAAGGAAAAAATCAGGGCTCACTTGACAAAGAAGAGGAAAAAAAAACAAGACACAGTAGCTTTAAATTGAGAAGCCAAGAAGCCTCCCAACTGATCGGCTAGAACCGATCCGGTCCTTGTAAACCCCTCGGTTTCCGATGCTCTCGGTGGTGGCAGAGCGGCAAAATACTGTTTAACTGTTTACACTCTTGCCGCGGTGCTTCAAAGGGCCGCCCTACAGTTGATCAGCGGTAAAAGTGTGGTGGTAGACCAGTGCACTCCAAAAACAAATGGGTAGACTGGCGCACTCCAAAAACAAATAGGTAGACCAGAACTCTCCAAAAACAAATGGGTAGATCGGTACGGCTCTGCAAGCAGTAAAAAGCCCGGTAGACCAGTACCTCTGCTAAATCCTAAATAATTGTTTGTCACATGACCATCAACCCATGCCCACAAAATAAGCCACGCCCACAGAACCAGTAGTAAAAAATTTTAGAACCCACCCCTGCTATGCACTAATTGCAAACCTTAGCTGTCCCCTTGTATGTTCCCTGGCAACAGTAAATAAAATATTAGTCATTTCTGACATATTTCGCCAGTATGACACAAATAAAATCCAAACCCACTTTTAACTTCAACCATGGTCATGTCATTCTATGCAAGTTAGGATCTCTACTCTACAGGCCACCTTGCTAATCCACACATTGTTGCTTGCATCTCAGCCATATGGAAGTACAGTAGATGCAATGAACTGATACAAACTGAGAATGTTGGTTTTTCAATGGCATCATGGCTTGAATCTTATATAGCATGAGTTCTCAAGAGCAGAGTTTATTATTAAAGGAGTGATGAGAGTTAAGATCAGATGGATAAAAATCAATGATTTTTTTAAAAAAATCAAAAAAATCAGATTTTTTTTATTTAAGTCGGATTTTTTTTTAGTTTTATTGAATTTATTTTAATAAAAAACTTTTGGGGTAAAAATCTATCGGATAGTTTTCTATTTAAGATACATAAATAATTTAGTTTATTCAGCATGAAATGGAGCTTAGTTATGTAGCATGAGGCTGTATATTCTGCAAAACTGGGACTATCGGTGAGTCAACAGTGGGTCAAAGGAGTAGCAGAGATGACAGTTGCTCTTTAAAAATTATGATTTAAATCGAGTTGATTTAAATCAAGCCTTTTTACTAGTGATTTAAATCATGATTTAAATTGTGATTTAAATCAACTCGATTTAAATCAAATCCACCCTGGTTAAGATTATAGTTGTATATGGGAACCTCAAGAACCCAGAGACAATTCAATTGAGCAAGAGGTTTACATAACTGGATGACACATCCTAATGCATGAAGATTAGAAAATAACACCCAATATTCTTACCAAGGAACCTGACAGTCCTGCGCACCAGTGGGTTTATATAGCAACAGTCTCCAGTTAATATTGTTTTTTCTTGGTTTTCAAAATCCCGTGTGGCCATCTGTAAGCAAAACACTGCAGTTTCTCCAACAATAATCTGGAAACAATGAAAAGAAAAGGAAGCATTAGATTCCATAAATACAAAGCGATGCTACACTAAAGATACATTTAAATCCATCCATAGGGGAAAGATCCCATAAAGTTCATTTCATTTTCCAGAAACAAATTATAGCAAGACTAAAGCCTAACAACACTTTTAAAGGGTGCTGTGCACAAAACACAGACAAAGTCTAATAATGAGATATTCGATTGTATATTACCTTCTGAGTCCTTCTTTCTCAAATGGAGTTTTATAGAATCCTAGCATTACATGATAGATTCTGGTTGGGAAAAAAAGTCTGAACTTTGCACATTGCATAATGCCAGTTCTTGCAGTGATGGATTTTTTTTTTACACACACTATAACTCACCTGCTGGCCTACTGCTTTGCTGTTGTAAATATTGTAACAAGGATTTGGTAGGTCAGAAATGAATTTTGGATAGATAATCCTTACTTAGTGACTGCAATGTTCAGTGAGCATTTAAAATTATGACTATGCTAAAAAAGTAACTTTACAACCAATGGCTACATTTACAACCTCACGATTGCCTTTCTAAGTCAGTATGGCTTCTCCTATGCCTCTCGTGTTACTTTTCTTTTTTGTGCCCCCTTGCAGAATGGAGAAATTGGAGAGAAAGGGATTATAAGAGAGTAAGCAGGCGCACAATGGGGAATACACATTGGGAGGAATGTGGTGGCACCAGCAGCGCCCGCCCCTCCCCCCATTGATAGACCCAAGTGCCTGAGACAAGCAGCCTGGTGTATTCCCCATTGCGTGCTTGTTTACTGTCTTGCAATCCTATCCTCTCCAATTAATGTAAATACAAAGATTAATTCCCTTCTTGCTAATTATCTCAGCACAGGAGTAGCCATTCCAAAGGGCATGAGAGTGGGAAAAACGAAAGCAGGGTCATGGTCATGTGATTCCCCACTTAGCAAACGTTTCAATTAGTGACAGAGTTGATCGCAATTATGATTGCTAAATAGGATTGCCTGTAATTTGTCACACCCCTAGTTGATCAGTGATCCTTCGGAAGATGAAGAAGACCAAAAGAAGAAAATTGGGAATATAAATGTGCAATGCTTCAATTCCACTGAGGTGTTTCAGATGGTGGTGCAGGTTAACAGCTGCATCTTTTCCTTGGATCACTCAGCTGTTGCAGGAAGGCTTCTGTTGCAGCTAATTGATTGTAGAAGAAGATGCAGCTGCTTCAATAAGTCACTGCCAGATTTGTTTTCATGCTTGTGTGTATTTTGGAACATCTCTTTTGAGTCAAAACGCGGACAGTCCCAGACCTAGCAACAGTGCTGCAAGGGCATCAGATAACCACCCCCCACAATTTTAGCCTCTGTGGATAAAGCCACAGTCTCATTGTCCAGTCCATAGGAATCCCTGTCTTCGGGTGAAGAGTTAAACACCAGGAAAGCAGAGAAATGTTCAGTTGCACAGAGGAGCAAGTAGCATAAGTATGTCTACTTAGGGGCAATGTGGTGCTGAAACCCAGAATGATCAGTGGCAACTGTGCTCAGTCAGGAACTCCAAGCCTCCTCTATTTAAGACCCCAAGTGAAGAAGGTAGCTTACTGCCAAAACAACTTATCCCACCTTGCACTTTCCTTCAAACTCTTTAGTAGCTGGCTCTTGGTTATCTAGTCTTGCTGTGAATCCTTGCCCCTACCTTGCCCCATGAACTCCAGTTATAATAAGGACAGACCTTTCCCCTGGAACTCAAACTATATATGCACTGCTCAAAAAAATAAAGGGAACACAAGCAGAAGACATCCGAGATCTGAATGAATGAAATAGCCTTATTAAATACTTTGTTCGTTACATACAGTACAGTAGTTTTGTGTTCCCTTTAGTTGTTTGAGCAGTGTATAAACTACTGTATGTAAAGAACAAAGTATTTAACAAGGCTATTTCATTCATTCAGATCTCGGATGTCTTCTGCTTGTGTTCCCTTTATTTTTTTGAGCAGTATACATTTATGTCCACGTCTGCTGGGTTTAGGAGTCTCAAACTGTTAAAACAACCAACTCCAGCTGGGATGGGGGGGGGGAGAGAAGATTCAGTAAATACTTTTTGCTTTCGGTAAGGATGAGGAGCAACACCAAGAAATCAAAGGTGTAGCCTACATAAGCTCTAGTGGGGGGAAAATGTAGAATTTTATATAAGGGCATGTAAAGAAAACAAAGATATCCTCCATAGGCTATAAAAAAAAGAATCAAGAATTTTATATGAGGCCCATACCTTTCTTACATACAAGTTTCAAGTCCTCCAAGAACTCCAGAGTTCTTCAGGAGTGAAGATGGTAAACAGAGCTAATAAAATAGTAAACAAATGGACAGAGGGAAAGAACAACCCCCACCGAAGCCATCCAGTCTTCATTTAATTATGCTCTTAAAAGTTAATGTGGAAAAATATCAATAGATTCCACTTGCTGGTGAGATCATTTTTGAATGTCACCAGTATCTACGCCTGTTTTAAAGTGAAGAGGATGACAAAAGAACTAGGTGGGAGTAGAGAAAAGACTGTGGATTGACTTGTTTTAGCTACTGGCCCTTTACAAATGTCATGGCAGGCTGGAGATTGTACCCAGAGTACAATTAATGACAGCATCATTCACCATGGATCTGTTACAGAAGAGGTTATCATTGGCAAAACGCTATATGGGGGCCCACCATAACCTTTGCACCAGTATCACTGAGGGAAATAATGGTAGCTGGTATTCTTACCTAGTGCTTAGAAAACTACTGGAATAAAAGAAGAAAGGAATAATGTTACCCTATTTTTGAAACCGTGTAATTAATCTGTTTCTTAGAACTTTATCTATCACACACCAGTGTAATTAAGTTTTAGACCCTCAGACATTGGTAGAGAAATTTGAGAACTGTAGTTAGATATAGTTTAAGATTTCTTTTTTATAGCATGTTAGTATAATGGGAATAATGCAACACTGAACATGATTAAAATAGAAGAATGTGGCAATAAAACTTAATAGAGTAATACAGGCAAATGAATAAAAGCAATAAAATATGTACCACACTGTATTTACAAGTGAAAGCTTTAGGGGGAAAAAAACTAGCAGCTTAAAGAGATTTATAAAGGAAATTATTCTGAGGATACAGGCAGTGGCAGTAAAGTATTTTTCAACCTCTAGAACAGGGGTGGGCAACTGTGGCTCTTTTATAACCTGTGGACTTCAACTCCCAGAATTCCTGAGACACCCAAGATGTCTCAGGAATTCTGGGAGTTGAAGTCCACAGGTTGTAAAAAGGCCACAGTTGCCCACCCTGCTCTAGAAAGATTGCCAGCAGTGGTGGGAATATGCAAGTTATAATCCAACAGATTCAGAAGGAATCTCTTTCAGGAATGTTCAGTTTTATGTGGCCCGCCAATTTTTTTTTAAAGTAATAAATTCACAATTACCCTGTTTCCCCAAAAATAAGAACCTGTCTTATATTTTTTTGAACCCTGAAATAAGCGCTTGGCCTTATTGCCATGCGCTCAAAAGCCCGATTGGGCTTATTATCAGGGGATGTCTTATTTTGGGGGAAACAGGGTACTTCAAAAGACTTGCTGCCCAGTGCCCCCAAGCTTCATAATCACCACCAGCTCCAATGCTGCCTTTTCTCCACTAGTCAAAGAACAGCTGATCAGCATATTGTTTTTTTCAGCCTGTGAGGATTTTTAATTTATCAATATGACCCCTTTGCCTCCGTGCAAGTCTCATCTAGAGTACTGCATATTTATAGAGGCCTTTATATTGGTTTTATATTCAAAGCACACCTACAACGGGGTGCTGTCAAAAATCTAAACAGTTCTTTTTAGATGAAAGAACTGTCTTTAAATGAAAGAACTAATGAAATTCTAATCTATGGTTTTCCTTCACTTTTCAGGTTTGGTTGATTTGTTTTTTTAAAAAAATTCTGAATTAGATTCAGGTCATTTCTGCCTATGCATGCATGCATGGCTCCTTTGCTTCGCTGGCTCTTCCAACAGAAGCTTTCCCCGTGTTTACACATGATGTGCAGAGAACTGGAGCAAACTTTCGATGCAGCTGTGCCAAGCCTTCCAGACAACGCAGCTGCCTTGGCATTCGGAGGAAAAGCCATTCATTCATGCTCGCATGCTTTGAAAAGGGCTAACAGATAGACGGCTGGATCATCACATATGTAAAACATCTTTACATTTATTGCACAGTGATATAAGCTGCCCAGAAAGGACTGTGAACCTTGAGGCAATTATATGCTTTTCTAAGTAAGCCGAGCTATTTAAAACTAATATGCATACACACATATATATACACACACAAATAAAAATAAAGAAATTGGGCGATATATGTTTCATTGACAGCAGAATTTTTTAAATATTCTAACTCAGAATCCCAGTTATAGCCAGAAAAAAAAATATCTACCAGTAAATCCTCTGAATTCCTAACTAGTACAGACTGTCTAACCTCAATGATTTGAAAGACGTAGCTTCTATATCTGAAACCCTTTTACGAGAATAGAATTCAAACAAGGTACATAAGTTGAACATGACCTGGAAGGAATGATAAACAGAATTATTTGACAGTAACAGCATTGTTTGCCAGTACTGGATTTTCATCAAGAACAATTGAAATGTTATTTATTTACGTGATATTTTGTCTGAACCTTTCACATGACTATGTAGTTCAGAGGTAAACGTGTCCTCCATCAATACCATCCTGGTAAACAACACCATCAATGTTGTTTACCACTCTGGAAAACAGCAAGCCCATCATCCAAATCCCCACAGCCTCCAGACACTGAGAAAGTACAAATGACATTACTTGATCAATCAGGCAGAAAAGTATATTGACGATACCTCATCCTAGGGCAGTGAACAATCTCACCAATAGTTCCATGCAGATAGCAATAGCACTATAAGGTATATAAGTCTAAGCACTATAAGACTTAGACTTATATACCGCTTCACAGTGCTTTACAGCCCTCTCTAAGCAGTTTACAGAG